AAAAATGCATAACATCTTTTTACTCGGCGCCATCTGCGCCACCATCTGCACCAGCGTCAGCCTCTGGCGTCGCCACGTCAAAACCACAGTCGGCACGGGCCTCACGAGCCTTTTGACGCGCCCCCTCGAAAGCAGCTTCGGTCACGACGACGGCCTCCCACAAATTCTTATATACATCACGTTGGACCTCGGCATAGACCCAAAGTTCTCTAGCCTGGCTGGAAGAAGCGGCTTGATCCCGTAGACGCTGATTCTCTTCTTCTAAGGCTGTGATCCGGTCCGCCATGACTTGGGCGTCCTGCTCAAAGACACCGATCTGCTCCTCGAGACTCGCTTCTCTAAAGGCCGCAGCATCCCTCTCCAACTGCCCGTTGGGATTCGTGCACGCGGATAGCTTCCTTCAACGTCCCAGCCCTCGACGAGGCATCCCTCACTTGAAGCTTCAATACCGCGACTTCACCGTCCAACGCAGTCACTTTCCCGCTCCATGCCGCAGCGGCCTCCGCCGCCTTAGCCTGGCCCTGGCGCTCACGCTCATCTGCAGCCCTTCTCCCCGCCTCAAGCTCCTCATCCTTTCGCCGGAGCTGCTCCTCGAGAGCACTCGCTCTGCCAAGTGCTTGCTGCATCTGTACCTCCCGTCTCGCCAGTTCCTCGACCAAGGTCCGACTACGAGGATCATTCCTCAAGCGCGCACGCATCTCTCGGCACCGATCTCGGTAGCGGTGGTACTTCTTCAGCGCCCGCAAAAATATCCCCGAGCGAACGTTGGCTCGACGGATGCTCTCCACCTCCAACAAATAAGACTGCAAAGCAAAGACAACGATTAAGATAAAGTTCAAACTAAGGCAAGGAAGAAGCGAATCGACATTATATTACATACCCTCAATCCCATCACAGCCATTTCGTTCATCAGTCCGACATCCATGACGCCCCTCAATGACGCGTTCTCGGCCTCCAAGCACAGCAGCTCAAACTGCGGGACCAAGCTACTCCCCTGGAGCAATAAGTTCAATTCCGTGGGAACCTCAATGAAGCGAGATCGCCCCTCTGCGCGCACCGCTGAATTGGTGAAGCCTTCCTGGAACATACGGACGTCGTCGGGGTCCAAGTCGGATTCAGACTCATACTCACCCTCTACAGCATCTCTTCCTCCTTCAGCCGCCGGCGAGTGGAACCTCCCGCCGCAGCCGCCAAAGGAGTGCTTAACTCACCAACATTACCAGCCGCAGAGGAACTACCTCCCGTCTCAGCGACTGGAACCACCGACTGAGTTGCCGAAGCGACGGCATCCTCATGGCCTAAGCCAGTCAGGGCAACCCCATTGACTGTTCACCCTCAAGAGCAGGCGCCGCGACCGCACCCCGCTCCGCATCCGTCGGAGGAGATTCCAAATTGATTACCACAGGAGGAGCCGGCGTGAATACAACCCTACGCCTTATCAAGGGCCTCTCCTCCTCCCCGTCTGATGATGATTCTGCCCTAGGGGGCACAACCCCCAATGGCCCCTCGTCCCGAAGCGCGGCCCGTGATGGAGAAGGAACCGCTGAAGATTCAACTGATGCCGCCCTCGGTATTGAGCGCGACACAGGCGCTGCAGTAAGTCGAGCGACTCCACCCGGCCGACGGAAGGCCAACTGATGGGCCCTGACGCGGCGTGCCCTCCCTGATCACAGAAAAACAAAGTTGAGGAATAGTGTCGAAACAAAGCGGAACAGAAGAAGAAGTCAATTTTTCTTACCCACCGTATGGGGGAGCACGGCCTCGACCCATCCGTGAATCCCAGCTAACGGAGCCGGCGACGATTTTTCGGCTACAAAATTGACACGAGTTAACGCTTACGAGCACAAGACGTAAGGAGGGGTAAAAAAAAAAGAATTCGACGACAAAAGAACTTACGTGCATGATTCCAAGCCTCTGGGAACCCAGCAGAGCACGCCACTAAATGTTCAGTCCTGATGTAGAAGAAGTGCTCAAAAGGGCGAGGATCGACCTCGTCATCCAGTTTTGCAGTCAGGCCCCTCGACCCACGAGGGCACGCTTGAATCATGGTACCGCGAACCCTCTGGGGAGCGTAGAGACTAAGCACATGCTGCAGCGTGACCTCCCTACCGGCCAGTTCTGCATATTTGATAAACATAGCTAGCAATTTGTAAAGAGAAGGAGCAAGCTGACCCGGGCACACCCCGTAATAACGACAGAAATCAACCACCAGCACTGGGAGCGGGAGCTTAAACCCCAACTTGAAGGGGTAGGCGTAAAAGACGCAGTATCCCCTACGGTCGGTGTGGACCCTCTCCTCGCTTCTAGCGAGAATGACGTCAGCATAGCCGGGGATGACCCCCTGTCCCCATAGTCGGGACATCCCAATCTCCCCCATTAATGGGGCTTCATCCACCTGATCCTCCCCACCATCGGCGGTGAAATCAGTCATCGGACCTCCGGGCAGAGGTACTATCTCATCAACAGACGGAGCTTCACCGGTCTCCACCAGTTTTGCATCGCCCATTGCCGGAAATGGCCCCTCGGTCACCGGTGAGTTAACCGGAAGATCCGTCGGAAGAATGTTTTGGAAGAAATGCCTGCCATTGTTGATACAATAACGAGAAAGAAACAAGGTTTGGGGGACGAAGACGAAGGTGAAACAACAGTAAGAAAAGCTTCTTCAGAATCTCTCTCAGACAAACAATGAGAATATAAAAAATGAATGCCTTAGCCTTTATTTATAGGCAACGCAAGTGGCCTTCATGCACCCCAACAGCCACCATTAACTACATGACCAACCGCACACCGGTTCGATTCCATAGGAATGTGCGTCATTATGACAGGCTCCATAAAGCAGCCTTGCAATCACCAATCGGCGTCTCGCCCTCGAAATGGTTATTACGACCTATGAATGCCGAGGAGATGCTCCTTGCGCCCTAGAAATTTTTTGACATCGCCAAACACGTATCAAGCGTGCCCTCACTCCCCTCGGCCGCACAACATACGACCCATCCGCCATGGTCGACGGGTATGCACCCAAAACAAACGTAAGGATCAGAGTACAATGAAGCTCGACCTCACTCGAAGTAAGTTAAAAGGTCAAGCGCCTTCGCCAAGGAGGAGAGTTCGACCTTGATTGAACGATGACTTGATAGCACAATAACAGAATACTAATACTCTACAAGGCTAAGGGCCATCGCCAAAGAGAATTCGGCCTCGACCGAAGCAACAGTCGACCTCCCCATCCGAGTTTCTCAAACTACAGTCGATGGAATCCACTCATCGAGCTCGGCCAAGGCCCGACCTCAATAAGCGGAGGGACTAACTGTATGGGTCAGAATCCGACCCCACGATAATTAACGAAGCTAATCCCGTCTTAAGCTAATTCATGATTAATTAGTGGCACGACCACTCAGAATTAACGATATTCAACCCGCATCTGATTCGATCAGCAAGGCCATGGCCTATCCGCCACCATGAAGGCAAAATCCCAACGTGGTCACGGCCACTTATTGCCAGCTCACGAAGCTCACAGCTATAAATACCAAGAGAGGAAACCCTAGAAAAGGGGGGCTTCTTCTTCACCACTATTGAGAGAGAAAAAAGAGACAACGATACCCAAATTATGGGCAAGAGGAACACCATTGTAAGGCTTTGAACCTCTTCATGGAGAGGCAGATCAAACCAATATTATCAATAAAGGCTTCTAATGTTTCTCCCCCTAATCCTGAGTACTTATTTTCGTTTCCTTCATTTGGTCCAACGGATTATTACGGTTTGCTATAATTTTTCCGTGATTTATTTATATTGTTTTATACTCATAAGGTATGTAATAACTTTTGAGTCAAACAAAAGGAAAACAGAAGATGTTGGGGTGGGACTTCACATGCAACAACAAAAAAACAATTTAATTCATTAAGGTAAAGCCAAAAAAAGAAAATAATATGCTCTTAAGAGATAATAAATACTTCCAAGATATCATTTGTTACTTCTTTTGTTATGGTATCTCAGCCATTTTCAGTTCTCCAACATATTCTCAGCAAAGCTGTAACTCTACCATTTACAAATATAATCTCACTGATAACTCATTCACCTCTAATAATAAAGTAACTCAACCTATACAAAGTTTCTTGTTTTCATATTTTGATGTGGTAAGAGAAACTACACTAACAATGCACCTTTCTCTTTTCCTTTCCTATAAAGACATTTACAGCTCTAAACCATCTAATCCATTCAGTGAAATTGGCCCAAGGCAATCACCTTCTATGCTTGCAAGAATGTTGAAATCCCTAGCAACAGCTCCATTGTTCCATCTCACAGCAAACACAACAAATCGGACTGCCACTTCGTTTTCAATCCTCGAGTGATCATCACATAAGAAGAATGGTTTCTCACCCGAAACGTAGGTGTAATTTGGCATCTTTCGAACACTCAGATAAACAAACTTCATAGGTCCGCATTTCAGAAAGACTCCGTTGCTTACAACCTTGATAACAATACCAACCAAGACTTCCCCAGTTTTTGGTAAGAAGGAACGAAAACAGAAGGTTACAGGGAAAATGATGTATTCTGATAATTCCATCAACTTTCCATTGTTCAGTTTTTCTTGGTACATCTTTCCATTGCCTATGCTCTTCACTTTTGTTATTCTGAGAAAATATCCGCAATCTTCTGTAACTCTCACACAAGCGAGGTGGTCCAAAAGATGCTTGATGACAACACTTCCCGGGACTTGTCCACTTTCCTTTATATCTTTCATAGGAACCACCACATAGAAGAGAATTTCAAGGTCGCACAGCATTGAGTCCCTACATTTCAAACATAAAATAAGATAACTAGGACAGAAAACAAAGCAAAAATAAATCAGCCACATCCTCTTGCAATTTTCCCTTTTTATTCTGCTGTAAACATTTCGTGAGCTCACCAAATAGAATCATATTGCACAATGATGTAAATGGCCAGAGGTATGTGAAGAGATCACAGCGCCTAGAGCAAAATGAGTCGCAGAAAATATAAGTAAAATTTATCCATATGTGTAAGCCCGAATCAATAAGTGCACGACATATGGCTATGAAAACTGGAAAAAGATTAAAGAATGGAAAAAGGAAGATATACAACAGCTAATAGCACAGAAGGGAAATGCAGGGACAACGCCACAACGGATAGAGTTGTCTACTGCATAAGCCAATGCCTTAATCATAATATTTGAATAATCAACAATTACCTAAGTTGACACCCTAGTTAACTAATACTATGAGCACAACCATCATTAAAATGGCCACCAAAAAAACTATAGAGGAAACAAGTCAATTTGATAAGATAATTTGGCGTGTGGAGAGTGAGCAGTCTTAAGACCATCTACCATTGACAACGAGATTGGCATCTACCCCGGGGTAGGGAGTGGATGGTAACCCTACGTAGGAAAAGGCACATTTAAGAGATGTAGAACTGTAAATTACAAACAAAATAGAGAAAGTTACATTGAGAATATTGCATGATCTAACTGTTCAATAAGAATATTGCATGATCGAGACCCCATTCTTCCAACCAGAATGCTCAAGAGAGGCTTCAAACGGGAGCTTTACTTGAAGGGCGTCTGCTCAATCGTTGGAGCCAAGCAAATTGAGCAGCAGACGGCCTGGATAACTTAGCTCGTGAGTCGAGCAGAAAATACAGTTTCTACTCAAGGGATCTTTCGGAGTTTCTAAAGTCTTCAGTGTAACTATCCAGATTCTAGGTCTTTTGGACCTCACAAGCTAACTAGGATAAAGAAAAAATTCTACCATTGGTTTCACGCCTCACAAACATATAAAATGGCCAACAAAGATCTTTGTGCCCTATCCCTTCTTAGTTCTTAATTGTTGAGAAAGCTAACTTGGAATGTTTTTCAAGAAAGTCCAGATCTCCACTAACATACGAAGTATTGACATACTTTGTTTTGATGAGGAAAGTATTTATATACTTTCTTTGTATTCATTTTATTGAAAACTTTCTTGCCTCCTCCAACAGTTTTATAAAAAGGTTGGAAGCTTTTGTGACAATGAGATCGAAGATTTTAGATGTTGAGATGTATATCTGAATCTGATATATCACATTTGCAAGCTGCAATATCACATTTGCAAGCTGCAACATCAAAATATACCTTGAGAGATCAACTTCATCTACCTCAGCTTTTACAATTATATTAAAGGACAAAACTAAACGCAAAATGAAAAGCAGCTGACATGATATCCATCATAAAGCATTACATCTCTTAGCAAATACTCATCCAAATTAAGAAGGAAAGAGAACGCAATAAAGGACTGTGCTTTATTTCCTCTTTTTGCTTTTATTTTCCTTTCTCTTTTAAGGTATCAGTACAGACTTACAGTGTAACAACATACTTGTTCCTAAAACCTATGCAGAAACTGAAAGAAAAATCAAAGTCAGTCCATTTCAAGACTTGGCCAACTTTGGATGAAACCTGATAAAACTTCTCAGGTGACGCCGAATGGGATTGCAAATAATTCTAGCCTAGTGGATTTCCCCGGCTCTCTATTGTCTTACTATATCTTTTTCTTATCGAAGCTTCTTAATGAAGCCCACCTTGAACTATGTAGATTCAAGCTATAATTCTCAATCAGAGAGATCCACATTCAACATTAAAAAAAAAATCTACTTTTTTTTAAGGAAAAAACAAATGCACTTAATATTCTAAGGTCTGAACCATCCAGATTAAGACCTCAATTAAGTGCAAACAAATGGGCCCTTAGTTCACCTACAGGATTTAAACTTAGGGGCGGAGCTAGTGTTTGGTTTATGGGTTTGGCCGAACCCAGTTGTTAAGAAATCCATTGAGTATGTCCATATTATTAATTAAGAACTAAGTGACTTTAAACAAATGTGTCCATATTATTAACTAGAATTCTGAACCCATAAGCTTTAAATCGTGGCTCCGCCTCTGTTCAAACTTATGACATGTTTCTAGCACACATCCAATGTTGTACTACATTAGACATTGAATCAAAGCCCAAGAGGCAAACATCCATAGAAAATTCTCATAACGAAAAGAGTACAACAGCCACATAAAAAACGTAATTCAAGCCTCATCCATTAAATTCTTCTAAAGAGAAGCAAAACCCAGAATTGCAAAAGCACATCATTTCAAATGGAAGAAAAAACAAAACCTAAATAAACAAAAAACTACCCCTACAAAAACCTCAGATTTATTTGTTTTCTGATCTCATGTGAAAAGGGTCATATAACTAAAATATCATTTGTTATTTTTTTACTTATCTCCTGCAAAATAACATTTGTAAATGGACAACAAAATCAAATCTATTAAAAATTACAGAAGATAGAATCATTAAAAACCAAAGATTAGGAATTGAATTCTTACCCAGAAAGATGAATACTTTGCACTGGTTTTTTTAGAAGAAGTATTGAAACAATTATGGAAATGAAAGGGAAGTATAGAGATGGTTATAGCAACTTTTGGGGTTGGGAATTGGGACGATTCGCTTATTGTGTACTGCCCATTTTTCTGCAACTTCCCCAAATTTGCAAAATTTGTAACCTCTTTCTATTTTCAAATATCATGTTTGTTTCAAGTTTTTGGGAGCCAAAAGCACTTTTTTAGAAATAGATTACTTTACCATATTTGGGCAATAAGTTTTTAAAAACAATAGCAGCAGTAGTTGAGGATTTATCGAAAACAGCTTCTCTATTCCGTCGGAATAGGTTAAGATCTATATACACACTGCCCTACTCACATTCCACTTATACAATTTCACTGGATTATTATTGTTGTTGTTGTTGCACTAAAAGCAGTTTTTCTATTGTAAGATTGTAGTTTTTCTAGATATGGAAATAGCAAGTTAAGATTTTTGGGACAAAAATATTAATTAGATGAGGTACTTTGACTCGGCATGAAATCTTAAAAAAAAAAAAAAAAATTTCAATCTTGTGCTCTTAAAGCTTAAGGGGTAAAAGTTTTATGGGATCATGACATTTGTGTGGTTATAAAAGCTTCTCATTAACGGTAAAATGAAGAGTTTAAAGTTCAATTATTTCCAATTATAAAAAATATGTCACTTTTTGGAAAGGACTAATAAAGATAACGTGTCATCTAAATTGAAACAGAAAAAGTATTATTTATAATACTTTTTATGTCCTAATTTACTTGGTGTACTTTTTTTAGCGTGCCACAAATTATGTAGAAATATATACTTCTTACATTTAAAATTAGTTTAACTTTAAATTTTTTTCTTTAATATTCTTAATAATTTTTTTTATATGATACTTTTAGAAAAAATATCATTATTTATAATATTTTTTTGTCCATTTTGTTCCGGAAATATGAAATAGAAGATGACACATTTTAATTAAATACAGTTAAATCTTATCAAAATCTCTTAATAATAAATAATTAATTATTTTTAATATAACATTAATTGTAAATTAAAGCTATTCATGTCATTTTCGTAATTAGACACTTAAAAATACTTTTTAAAACAAAATTGACCATATACAAACTACTAACTTTTTTTCTACTTTGACCATATACAAGCTATCTATTTATCTAT